TTTAAAAACAGGTTTGGCGCAAGAAATATTATTTCGCAAACGCGCCCGACTATAATCCACCATCAGAATTTAAATATCTATTCCCTTGATTTACATAAACGAAACTAAAAGAAGGTTCAGTACGACTTTTCCGGATTTATAGGGTATCCATAGGCCTTTCAAAATATTCAATTGTTTCAAATCAATGCTGATTTAAGTGGGGCTTAACATGCTTTTTGATTAGAAATATCAATTAGTATTTAACTATTACCAATAGAGAACGACTTGGAAAAATATTTTAAAGTAAAATGGCACATAAAAAGGGCCCATTAAGTATTGCTTAACTGTACTTGTCCTTTGCATAGGCGCTTGGTTACAGGATAGTGTATTTTGTGTATTATGTGTTTTTCTAGGTGTGCCTGAATACCCTGATTAAAATAAAAATAAAAATTCGCCGAAATTAGCACGTTTTAATTGCTATTCTCTGTAACCACTTAAACTTCGTTGCCACGCATGGTCACCGATTTTGATGAAACTTCACCCATGCTTAGGACTTGACACCAGAAACAAATATCAAACAAAATTTCGTTGCTAAGTGTCTCGGTTGCTATGGCAACAGCCGGAAAAGTTTGAAAAATTGAGATTTTCAGCCACTTTAAATCCTGACTGTGGCTTAATAAAAACTAGAAAAAGCAAACAAACCATTCTAACAAAAACATGACACCTTGATGTCACTTATACTGTGAAGAAACTGTTTAGAATATATCTCTAAGTAAGTGGTAACCAAGGGTACATTTGGAATACACTTAAAATGCTGAAATATGCTGAAAAACACTCCATATTCACTAATGGTAGGTGTTGCATGCTAAAACTCAATCATTGACTTAAGAAAAACAATGAAAATGTTTTACCTTAAGTATATAAGTATAAGCAATATTATTCTATAAATAACTTTTATGGTTGCCATGGTAACACAGTGTAACCATGCAAAACCAGTAACTAAGATTGGGTTAATGCTACTGTCTTGAGGAAAAACATGAAAATTCAAGACTGGCAAATATGCATCCTTAGGACCTTGCAACACCAAAACCGTAAGAAAAATTGGGTATAATTGCTACTTTTTAGTGTTACCATGGAAACAAAGTACCAGTGCTTAAAAGTGAATTTTTTTCCGCTGCATTAAGAATTAAATTGCCATTTCATCAAGAAACAAATTAAAGAGCTCAGCTGGAATAGTCTTATCTGTTAGAACTGAAGTTAAATATCATATATTGATAAAATTTGATGAATAAAACAACACTGTTGCTATGGTTACCAAGAAGGGAAAATGTTCGATTTTTTGAACTTTATATCAATATTAAACCCTGTGTGCCAACTTCTTGCATCCACTTAGAGATTGGATGATAGTCAAAATTAAAAGTCAAGTTAGCTGTTAGTAAATATCAATCATAAAAGTTTTGGGAATCTACATTTAAGGGTACGTATCCAATGAAAGTAAATATTTTTCAGCTTTTTAAGCATATATTTTCTGCTTATTTCCATAGCAACGCTCTATTTAAAGAATCTAATCTGAATTTTTTGAAATGGGAAAATTTGGAGCACACCAACATCTTATAAAATTGATCATTAGTTATGAGGAAATGTGCTTTTTTTAAAAGATAGGATCATATTTAAACATACATAGTGTTACTTTGAAGGCTCTCTGGGGCATAAAAACCTTGGCAACCATTGCCAACCAAAATGAATATCATATTTTTTTTGGTATGTATTTCAAGGCTCTTTTTTCTATTATTTGGTAACATTTCATCCTATAATTGCTTTTCATTTTTACGAGTATGACTTCATAAAATTCAATGAATATTTTTTTTACTTTTGAATACTTTGTTACCATAGTAACGTATGTAATAGTTGATTTACCAAACATGTTTATCATGCATTTGAGACATCTTACCTTCAACTTTTGGAAACAGTCATTAACAATTGTTTGCTTTGCCGCAAATGTTAACTATGGGGCTCTAAACATGTTAAAAAATGCCATTTTTCGAACTTTAAGACATGTTGCCATGGTAACTATAAAACATAGCAACCAATTTTTGCCTGATTTCAGTTCAGGGTATCAATGCCTTTTATCATAGAGAGTTTGGAGAAATTCTGAGACTATGCGTGCCACAGCTCCTATGTAAAATTTCAAATCATTACAGAGAATGGCTCTTAAAAATGTCATATTTACTGTATATAAAAAGAGTAAAGGAGTGTCACTCGCCATCTTGAAAGTTAGGGGGTACCTCGGTTCACACTTAATTTTCAGCAATATCTACATTTTTCCTACCGATGTCGGGTGAGATGTAGCTTCAAAAATGGTTGAATGACAACTCCCTATCATCTGTTGACCTACATATGCCGTTTTAAACAAGCAGTGAACCGAAACGTCCTCGATTTTTGCACCTGTTTATCGAAAACAACGGAAGTGGCGATTTCAACTATGTAAAATGTAGAAGCGTTACGGAAATACATGGAAAATCTAGAGAGGTCAGAAATCGCGCCAAACTTGTTCTCTTTAGATTTTCCGTGTAATTCCGGGACATCTCTACATTTTTCATCGTTAGAAATCGGCAAAATTACGTTGCTTTCGATGTCTGTACATAGTATAGAGGACGTTTTGTATTTACTGCATGTTTTATACGGCAAGTTCAAATCGGCAGACGTTTGAAAAGTGTTATTCAATCATTTTTGAAGCTACATCTCACCCGACACCGGTAGGAAAAATGTAGATATTGCTGAAAATTTAGTGTGAACCGAGGTACCCCCTAATTTTCAAGATGGCGAGTGACACTCCTTTACTCTTTTCATATACAGTAAATATGACATTTTTAAAACGTGCTAATATCGGCGAATTTTTATTTTTGTTTTAATGAGGGTATTCAGACACACCCAGAAAAACACATAATACACAAAATACACTATCCTGTAACCAAGCGCCTATTGTCCTTTGTTAGATGTTCATCAAAAGTTTTGGACAGAATGATAATGTCGTCCAAGTAAACTAAACATATTTTCCATGACAGATTTGACAAGACTTTTTCCATAAGCCTTTCAAAAGTAGCTCCCGCATTACAAAGTCCAAAAGGCATATTTAAAAATTGCCAGTGGCCACCCCCGGGAATGGAAAATGCAGTTTTTGATTTATCTTCAGGGGACATTTTAACTTGCCAGTACCCACTCTTTAAATCAATAGTGGAGAACCACTTTGACCCGGACAAAGCATCTAAAGTAGTGTCTATATGAGGGATGGGATAATTGTCTTTAATGGTTAAATCATTCAGCTTTCTATAGTCAATACAAAACCTTATTGACCCATCTTTCTTTTTAACTAATACTACTGGGGAACTACAAGGACTATTAGCAGTTTCAATTACCCCTTTATCTAGCATTTCAGTAATCTCCCTTTGGGCTTCTTTCATTTTTGCGAAGGGTACTCGTCTAGGGGGTTGTTTAACGGGATTAGCATTTCCCGTATTAATTTTATGCTCCACTATGTCAGTCAAACCAATATCATCCGAACTCTGTGAGAAACTATTTTGAAATTCAACCAACAATTTAGTAAATTTTTAGCTCTACTGGTCAGAGACCAGAAGAGCTTATGCGATAGTAATGCGTCCGTCGTCCGTCCGTCTGTCTGTCCGTCTGTCTGTCTGTCTGTAAACAATTTTTCAAAATGCTACTCCTCCTACAGTTTTGGTCTGATTTCAATATAACTTGGCGCACAAGTAGACTACACTAAGATACATGATTCTGTGTATCGGTTTTTGATTTCGATGAACGGTGTTGCCGTTGTTACTAAAAATAGAAATTTTTGTGAAAATCATTCAAAATGCTACTCCTCCTACAGTTTTGGTTTGATTTCAATATAACTTGGCACACAAGTACACTACACTAAGATACATAATTATCTTTATCGGTTTTTGATTTCAATGGACGGTGTTGCCGTTGTTACTAAAAATAGATTTTTATAAAAACATTCAAAATGCTACTTCTCCTACAGTTTTGATCTGAATTCAATATAACTTGGCACACAAGTAGACTACACTAAGATACATAATTCTGTGTATCGGTTTTTGATTTCGATGAACGGTGTTGCTGTTGTTACTAAAAATAGAAATTTCTGTGAAATTCTTTCAAAATGCTACTCCTCCTACAGTTTTGGTCTGATTTCAGTATAACTTGGCACACAAGTAGACTACACTAAGATACATAATTCTGTATATTGGTTTTTGATTTCAATGAACAGTGTTGCCGTTGTTACTAAAAATAGAAATTTCTGTGAAATTCTTTCAAAATGCTACTCCTCCTACAGTTTTGGTTTGATTTCAATATAACTTGGCGCACAAGTAGACTACACTAAGATACATGATTCTGTATATCGGTTTTTGATTTCAATGAACCGTGTTGCCGTTGTTACTAAAAATAGAAATTTCTGTGAAATTCTTTCAAAATGCTACTCCTCCTACAGTTTTGATCTGAATTCAATATAACTTGGCACACAAGTAGACTACACCAAGATACATGATTCTGTGTATCGGTTTTTGATTTCAATGAACGGTGTTGCCGTTGTTTCTAAAAATAGAAATTTCTGTGAAATTCTTTCAAAATGCTACTCCTCCTACAGTTTTGGTCTGATTTCAATATAATTTGGCATACAAGTAGACTACACTAAGATACATAATTCTGTGTATCGCTTTTTGATTTTGATGAACGGTGTTGTCCTGGTAACGAAAAACAAAAATTTCTGTTAAAACTCTCAAAATGCTACTCCAATTACAGTTTAAGTCTGATTATAATATAATGCAAGTAGACTACACTAAGAACATAAAGAGACTTAATCAAGGCTCATTATTCTTTTTATTGCTCTGGTAAAGTTTCAATTCCCAACTGCTTAAGAACTTTTCTTTTCCTTTGCTATAAGAACAAACCAGTAGAGCTTCAGTCTCGACAGAGACTTCTGGTTGTTTTTGTTCCCAACTTCAGTTCTCAGGGAGTTTCTGGATGATAGTTTCGAAATGTTTGGGCAAATCAGACTCAGAATTGTTATTATCATTACAAAGGGTATTAACTGTTTCCGTATTCTCAGACATATCCTCAACATTTTCAATAGTGGCCAAAACTGTACCTTTGTGGATTTTGACACTATGGTCATTACAATTTATGTAACGAATTGGAACTACTTCCCCTTCCACCTTAACTAAGGTCTTTGGGATTAATAATTCGTGTTTTTCAACAAATTTTTCAGTTGGTTCCACTCGGGCCCCCCTGCTAGTGAACAATGGATTTTCTATTTTCCCAGGTGCAATAAACTCGCTATTTAAAGGTACTTCAATATCCTCGGCAAGTAGTACTTTGCAGAAAGGGATATCCAAATTTTCACTATTAACGCAAGGAACTTCCACACCCTTTATTTTGAATTTCATTTTCTTCACTAATATATCACACGCATTTTGCTGCATGAAATCTATCCCCAAGATACATTTATTAAGGATATTTGCCACTAAGAAATTGTGAGTAACAGTTTTATCTCCCACAGTTATTTTCATGGGACATTCCCCTCTAACAAGAATTCTCTCCCCATTCGCAGATGTTAGTTTCACTAGGGATGGTGTTAAATTAATCCCTTTCTTTAAATCCAAATTTTCAAATACTTTGGAGCTTAATATGGTCACACTAGCCCCTGTATCTACTAACATAGATATTGGGTGATTTTCAATTTTCCCAACAACGTAAATGCCTTCATTGCCCATTTTTCGAATATCTCCTATTTTTATTTCTTTTGAAACATTTTTATTTTGCTGAGATTTTGTTCCCAGATTATTTTCTATAGTTTCAATATTTTGTTCAAGTTTGACTGACTCTTGGAGTTCCCGAGTATTATTTTCTATTGGCTGTTTCTGGGGTCTACCCCACTCCTCTGCCGACTTCCGACCCCCGAATTCGACACTGGAAAGTTTGACGATCTTCGAGGATGGAAGTCGTTGTGTCTAGCAAAATTATTATTGTTACCCCTATTTTGATTATAGTGGTTTCTGTATCCCATGTGGGATGGGTTGCTCTCTCCACGACCATTTTGTGGATGTTTTGAGTGAGTATTTTTAACACGACCTCTAATTTCTTTGGTAAGGGACTGAATATCATCCCTAATAGCTTGTTTAAAAGCAGACAAAGTGTCTTGTTCGTTATCTTTGTTAGCTTTGATATTGTTAATTGTTTGACCTCTTTGAGCATCTGCAAGTTTATATGTCTCAAGCCGTATAGCTAATACCTCGGCTTCATTGATGTCTTTCGGTCGGGCCTCCCGTAGGCGCAGCCTCATATCGGGGTCAGTTAAGGTATCTATGAAATAGTCCAATGCCAGTGTATTTATAACAGCAGGGTCAGCTGTTGGGTATGCCCGTCTATAGCTAGTAAGTTTCTTTATCGACTGGGCTAACTCAGGGAGTGACTCTTTTTCTCAACTCACTTGACCTTTTAACCTTGCACGATACATTTCGGCTCTTTCTATTGAGCCATACCTCATGCTTAATACTTTAACAAGTGAACCAAAATCTTGTGGTTGGGTTTCATTTAATTCTCTCAGAATGGCCCTTGCTTCCCCAGTTAAACTACTGGCTAAATAAAGGGACTTGGTTCTGTAATCCCAATTATGTAATTGGGCAAGTATTTTGAATTGCGTTAGGTACTCATCAAAATCATCCCCCCCGTCACAAGTTTGGGGTTTTATTCCAACATTTGGCTTTGGGATAGGTCTTGTAAACCCATTTTCATTTACATTTAAACCTCTTATACAGTCAGTCATTTCGTGGGTTCTAATGGGACTGTTTATGTTTTCTCCCGCTCCCATACCATGTGACTGTATTAGGCAAAAGTAGGGTTCCCTATTCTCATTTACCTGATGTATAATTGGGTTCTGAGGAGAGTTACCCTTAATTTTCAAAATGTCAATTTCTTTCTGTAATCTAAGAGACGCTTGTCTCATTTCATCGATCTTTTCTCCCATGTCATGTTTCATGCATTGAAATTCTTGACTCATGTTTTTCATTGCATTAAATATAAGTTCATTCATATTTTAAGAATGTTGGGATGCTGATGCCTGTTTGGGAGAGGACACCTGAGGACCCATATCTTCATCAAGGGACAAATCGTTCCCAATACAAGACCTGGGATTAAAGATTACCTCCCCTGAATCTTCTAATTTACTGTTTTTGGACATTTTAATTGATAATGATAAAAATGAAATAAATTTATATATTGCTAGTATATTTCTTTATTATTGCTTTGCCTCCCGTTCAACCAGAAGATTGGGAATAATTGTAATCCCACTTCTGACACCAATGTTACGTTTCACCCGCTTGATGTTTTACCCGTATGTGAAAGTAACCTGTGGGTCTCCCAATAGGGTTCGCCGACGACCGTTATCGGTTCTAAATTTTACTGTCAAGCTATAGGGTACGTCCGAGACGCTTTACTCCTATCGCGAAGACGCTTTATGAAAATACTGAGGAATAAAATTCGGAAATGGTTCGATACTGCTCTGTTCCAGGCTGCGGTAGGTTTAATGGGCATAGATTTCCAAAACGTAAAGATCTTCTGATGAAATGGAGAATATCCATCCGTCGTGTCGATCCTAGAACTAAAAAATTATGGTTCCCAGGCAAAGAAGATGTGGTCTGCCACATTCACTTTGAAGAATCAGATTATAGGCCTATTTATAGGAAGACGGAGTCAGGTACGTTTCATGATTTATTTACTTTGCTTTACATAAACGTTTGGTCATATTAATAGTTATCAATTGACAAAGTTTGATTGCTTCAAAGAGTTGTTTAAATATTGCGAATTGCGATTTTATGTTCAGTAATCATGTTAATGTAATTAAGAGTTTTTGTTGATTGTTTGGCTTTGTGTTGCTTTGTGGTTTCTTTTTTCTCCTTTCAGAACGTCAGAGGAAGAGTGAGTATTTTATTTTTTATTTTATCAACAACTAACATATAAGAAGAAAGAATATAAAACAGTTGCTACCTTTTTTATCGACTTACGTCAGCCGCAGCCACGAAGTGAGCGCTCTACCGACTGAGCTACCGTGAACAGTATTGGAAAATGGATTTGAGACATGTTGAATTTTTCCAAAAAAAAAAATCTTATTCAATTCAATTTACTAGCAAATTTTTTAACGTAGTGTAGGCTTGTAGGGAATGTGAGGAATATGAGAATGTAAGGAATATTAGATTCTTTTTTTCATTTCCTTGGTCAAAGGTCGTATTTTTTTCTTTTCCTTAGTAAACCCTTGTAGCAATGTTCTATCAAACGTTGTTCCTGCTACTCTCCAACATATACTCCACGTCTTGAAATCAAATGTCTTCGAAAAAAAGGAAATCGTGACAAATTATATCAAAATAGTTTTAAATAAATTTATATTTATATCCAGAAATATCTTCTTTTTTTTAAATTTATCATCCCTTGTAAAAACGTTATATAAGATTTTTCTCCGAAAAAAAAAATTTAGGAAATGATTAGTTTCTTTAAATGATACACTCTTTCCATGCGATTTTCAACGTTCAGACTTTGTTAAAGAATCTGGGAACAGCGAAGAATGCGTTTGTATATATTAAAATAAAGACAGATTTCATCATTTCAACGATCAAACATATAAAAATAATTATTTAATTTTTTAAAACTTGAACAATAGCAACTCCGGAAACATCATCATTTTCAATACAACCAATACAACGAAATTATCAACAAAGAAAGAACAGCTTCTGAAACAACTCAAACTACAAATCCACTAACTTCTGCACCATTCTCCATAAGTCCTACATCTACAACAAAAATAACAACAAACGAAGAAATAAAAACTTTCTCTGAGTCAACAACCTTAACAATAACATCAAAAACCACCCAAGATACAACTTCAAACCTAACTCCACATGTGAGGTCACAAACCACAACCAACCAAGATACAACTTCAACACTTACTCCACATGTAAGATCACAAACCACAACGAACCAAGATACAACTTCAACCCTTAATCCACATGTAACACCACAGAACACAACGAACCAAGATACAACTTCAACCCTAACTCCACATGTAATACCACAAACCACAACGAACCAAGATACAAGTGCCCCACTAACTCCAGATGTAACATTACAAACCACAACGAACCAGGATACAAGTGCCCCACTAACTCCAGATGTAACTTCACAAACCACAAGGAACCAAAATACAAGTGCCCCACTAACTCCAGATGTAACATCACAAACCACAACGAACCAAGATACAAGTGCCCCACTAACTCCAGATGTAACTTCACAAACCACAACGAACCAAGATACAAGTGCCCCACTAACTCCAGATGTAACATCGCAAACCACAACGAACCAAGATACAAGTGCCCCACTAACTCCAGATGTAACATCGCAAACCACAACGAACCAAGATACAAGTGCCCCACTAACTCCAGATGTAACATCACAAACCACAACGAACCAAAATACAAGTGCCCCACTAACTCCAGATGTAACATTGCAAACCACAACGAACCAAGACACAACTTTAACCCTTATTCCACATGTAATATCACAAACCATAATCGATATGATACCAACTACAGAACTATCAACCAAACCCAAATCAACTGCAACTTCAGCATCAACAGAAGTAGACAGGGAAACATCTAGTGAACAAATGGACACGACCACCCCAATACACACTAAAGATACCGCAGAATCTATACAGTCGAAGTTGACACGCCCTCATTTGATTCTAAGGGCCTCTGCTGCATTTCTTGGTATTGTAGCAGTAATGATAGTCACGGGAATAATAGCCAGAGGATGCAAAAAATCGTGAGTGTTATGGTCTATTTAAAATTTCATTTATATATAATGAAATTTAAGATTTTATAATATTACTACAAATCGCCACAATATTCTTCTAAAAGTTCAATAATCCCTGACAATTACTGACGGTAACTTAAAGAGACATGGACACAGAATAAACTGATTTTTAAAAATCCAACATTTTTAATGTTTACTATTCCTAATTAAGGCAATTCAAATGATCAACAAAAATTTAGACATAACTTGTTGGTTTACAAAGGAGATACAGAACTTAGAATTCTTAATCATGTAAACAAGGCTCGTGCCTTTTTTTTACGTATAGAAAATATATTTTAAACATGACAAGATTCAGTAATTAAAATTACTACAAATTGTCTAATTGTATTTAGAACTAGGGCTAATTGTAACGGGGACCGTTACAGATGTTCCCCAAACGCTCCCCAACTCCCTTTTGGTGCCATATTCGCCGCAAGCGCTATTAAATAAGACACACTTTATGCAATAAATTTTAGCATTGCACGCGTGCTCATCTGAATGCATGTGCGTAATGACCATATCGTTTTGTCTACACTATTTATATATTTTAATATACTTAATATCAAATCAATTAATCCAGAAGTATTAAGAAATACACTCATTTAAGCGTATTTTTAATTTTATTCATTTCACGTGCACGCACGTGCATGCACGTGCATGAGGACTATACATTCTTGTAGGAGTCTATTATGTCTGTCTATGTTCTAAATCACATCCTGTTTGGTTGAAAAACAAGGGAGTTATAGCCATTTACATTTTTAGCCAAAAAGATTGCAGTGCATGCGCGTGTTTTCACGATAATTGTTATACATAATATTATAGTACATCCTAAAGTATATATATATATTAGATTTCATAGCATTTCGTCAAAAAACAGAAAAAATATTGAGATTTTTGTTTCAGCCAATCAGAACGAAGTGCACGTGCACGCACGTGCCTGTATGTGCATGATGACCATACCTTCTTGTAGGAGTCCATTATATGTGTCTATGTTCTAAATCCCATCCTGTTTGGTTGAAAACCAAGGCAGTTATAGCCATTTAAAGTTCAAGCCAATCAGATTGCAGCGCACTTGCATGCGCATGTTTTCAAGACAATTGTTATATATCACATTGTAGAACATCCTAAAGTATGCCTATATTTTAAATTTCATATCATTTCGTCAAAAAACAGAAAAGATATTGAGATTTTTGTTTCAGCCAATCAGAGCGAAGCTCACGTGCATGCGCGTGAGTTCGTGCTAATTTGACAGTGTCATATTATCTACACTATTAATATATCTTTATAGAATGAGTTTCAAATCATTTCATTAAAAAATGTAAAAGTTATAGCTATATTAAGTATATCGGTCATTTCACTCATATCACGCGCACGCACGTGCATGCGTATGCGCGCAAAATGACCTTCGTTCCGCACACCTACACTACACACCTATTAACCCTAAAAAGGTTTTAGCTTAGTTGGGTGAACAGTTTCTGAGAACACTCGCGGACAAAAAAGTACCGGAGAACAAAGAAGAAAAAAAAGAATAATAATAATAATAATAAGAAACCGAGTAAAAACAATATGTTCCCAAACTCCGTTTGGGGAACATAATTAACTTCTTCATTGAAAAAATCTGCTTTGAACGAACATATATTAATTGATATACATATCATTTAATTTCTGTAAAAAACTTGATTCTGATTGGTTTCAAAATTCTTTTGATACCTGCATCAATAAAATCTAGAGTTCGCTTGCACAAAGCAGCCGGAACTACTTTGGCAGTCTCTACATGTATATTTCCCGCTTCCAGGTAACTTTTTGGAGGAATAATTAAATACTTTTACTTTAATAAATATTTTCCTGAATTTCGAATCCTGTCCGTTACGTCTCCGACTTATTTTCTACTTTCGTTTCTTTTTGAATTATCCCCCTTTGCTAAACAAATCAAATCGTCTGCATAACAACAATACAGTTTTGGGAAAGAAGGAAAGAAATCGACATACTTTTGTTAAATGTTTGGCTTTGAGATGTCTGGTATGAACAATAGAATTCTGAAGAAACGTTTTTTTATGCTACCAAAGAGAGGAAAAACCGTTAATCTGTTAAAACTTGGGAAACGAATGATCGAGAAAAACGACACTGCATGAATGAGGACAGATTCTGTTATTCTTAAACAGTCGGCAGCAGAATCTTTTAGGTTTTACAGCATTGACAGGTTGTGATACGTATTTATATGTTCGGTTTGAAATTCAGATGAAAAGATGTGCAAATGAAATTCAAAATTTCTGTGACCAAACGTTAGAACTGTTAGGATATTTGAGTAGCTTCCCTTTACATTTACGAACTTAGATAACTTACCAGGGAAATTATACCGATTGGGATAACACAACAGGTAAGTTTTTTGTGTTAAAGAACTGTAAATTATTTCAGAGAATGTTGGTAATGCCACGACAATATTTGGGAACGTTTCTTCGTTTGAGCCATTTTGAATATCAGCAACGTTAACCTTGTTGTGATATATTCGTGCGCACTGTTTTTGATGCGTAAATTTAATAGAAAGGTGAAAGAAAGATTCATTTTATTAATTTAAAAGCATAATTAAATGATAAGAAATGAATGTAATATTTTTTCCTTTGATCGATGTATCAAAGAAAAATTTGGACGGAAAACTTTTTCATCAATGCGCTACGCGGATTGATGAAGTTTTCCGTCCAAATTTTTCTTTGATACATCGATCAAAGGAAAAAATATTACATTCATTTCTAAAAACTTATGTAAACAAAAACATGACACGGACCATGTTTACACAACAAAGGTTTGGAGCTCTAAAAGTGTCTTGTATCTCTACAACTTGCGTTCAAATTTTTAATATTCATTAAAGATACTTAAGTTAAGTATTTGAAGACATCAAAAAAGGATAAATGAATTTGAAAATTGTCATATAAAACTGTGTCCATGTCCCTGTAAAGTCATCAATCCAGAAGAGCTACGTTTTCCTACAAAAGCAATTGTTAAAGAACTGAAAAAATAGTGTCCATTGACATGAATGAATTGGTTTGTTTTCTAAACAGAAATAATCGTCCAGAAATCCAACAGGAAGACAATAGAGAGTTCAAGGATTGGAGAGACTTCGTCCTGTACGCTAAGCCTTTGTATAATGTTGATTATTTCTCTACCTTCAATGGCGATTTGTACATTCCACATGCATCTCTACATAATTTAAATCCAGGGGAGGATGTCTCAATATCAATCAAAGAGGACATCAAAAATATTGATTTTTCCTTATCCATATCAATTTCCTGGACCTTTTGCTCTCCTTAATTTCTTGTGGATAGTACTTTCTACAATGTAGTACATGCTTTGTATTTGAATTTGTTACATACACATGTAAACAACTTTTTTTTATACAAGCTTTTAATTGCGAATGAAAAGATTGAAATGAAGGTAAAGATACAGAAGGGATGGTAACGTCAATTACCTTTTGTAAACCAGTGGCCCTTTTCACACAAAAATATTACTAAGACCCAAATTTCCCCCATTCTACTATAAATACATGCATCTAAGCTGCAAAAATCTCATAAAATATCAATTAATGAAAGAGAATTGATCTCTCTCAATATATTGATATTTTATGATTAAATTGTATAATTAATCATTTGGACAAAAATATTTTACGAGATAAAAATTACAGAATGGAGAAATTTTAGTCACAGTCGCAATTTTTTTTTTGTGAAAAGGGCCACAGGTTACTACTGGGGGTTATGATTGAATCTTAAATTTACGCTAGTCTGAGAATACTTGCTGAATAATATGACTTTAAATGCCATACTGTTGTTAAGAAGAATGTTTTAAAAGAATTCTACATTTTTCTCAAGCCGTTACATGTATCCCTTATTATAGCCCTACGTTAACTCCATGGCCATGATTTGAATAAACATGATTCTGGCCTTGAGCTTGCTAGGAATGCTTGATTATGAATTAATATAGCTAATCATGGATGATCATTATTCATGGATGATAAATTTAGAGTTAAGGTTTCGTCAAAGGTCAACATGTCTAAAAAATTCTTTTTACAATAGCTCCAAAACTATGTGTGGTATAAAGTCAAAACGTTTACAGTTTATAAAAATATCATTGATTAATAGAAAGAAAGTATCACTTGATAACAAATATTTTTAAAAAGATATGTTTTGAGAAAAACTGTATCAGAAAATGTGCATATTTAAGGAAAAATGCAACTGCTTAATTCTGTCCTTTTTGTGAAAACCAACATTGTAGAAATAATATGTTTATCATTGAAGGGCAAGTTGGACGTGAGTGGTCTCTTAAAGGCTGTTACCAAAAGCATGACATGTAAAAAGACAAGACCCCTGTAGTATCCGCCATTTGCAATGTACTTTCACTTTCAAGTCTTAGCATTTGGACAAAATAAACATGGAAAACAAGTACCTTTTCAGAGGCTATCCAAGTCCAACTTGCCCTTCATTGATAAACATATTTTGTTTCTGCAATGATGGTTTTCACCAAGAGCACGGAATTAATTTGGTGTATTTTTTGAAAATATATGCATTTTTAAGAAGAATTTTTCTCAATTAATATTATTCCAAGCATTTTTTTTTATCAAATGATACTTTCTATCTGTTAATTAATGAAAAGTTTATAAACTTTAAAAGTTTTAACTTTATACCTCACATGGGCTATTGTAAAAATAAATTTTTGGACATGTTGACCTTTGACGAAACCCTAAATCTCTCTCTTTCTCTCACATATGTCTTAATACATTTACAATTGTAACTTTAAAATTGGATTGGGAAGAGCATATTTTGTATTATCCGAACTGGTATACATTTTGGTTGTTCTCAATTATTAAACGTTATGTTCTTGTTTGTCTTTTGTTATACTTGGGTAGGACCTAAATACTTGGTAAACACTAAGGAACACATATGTGCACTGATGCTGACGTTTTATTTGTATGATGTATTCATACGCGTACACAAAGCATGTGGAATACCGGTGGGAAATTTCAGATTACTTAGGTTAAACATTACACAAAAAGAAATAGTTCCATTTAAAATATAACAACAGTATAAATGAATAATATGTAGATATAACAATTTTTCAAATTTTGGGACATGTCATTACCGATTTTATAAAATCTTTTAGAACACCTACATTATTCATAGTTTTCAAGCAGTCTGTATGAGAGTAATGTAAAACGTTAAGACATTGCCGATTTCTTACCCAAGAAAAGTTCTTAAAGTCAACAATTACGTTAGTAAAAAATTTTCAAGCAAAAATCCTTGTAATTTTGTGAATGATAGGGGAACGATTCTTTATTGGTCTTTAAGACACATTCTTGACATTAATATAAAAATTGTCTCTTCTTTTGTTTAGTGTGTTTGTTTTATTTTTATGTTTGTATTTTAGACCTCTATATTCAGGAAATGTTTTTTATTTTTATTGGTTACAGTAGATATTTTCAGCAGAAGACTCGTCTAGTGCCCGGATGTTATTCAGCACACAGTTGTATATCATCCCATACTCCTCCTACAATTCAAAAGTTTTAAATTAGTTTTTTTTTTATAAAACACAAATAAATTATTTTATACCATAGAAACTTAAGTTCTACAATATCTTATCCTCTTAACACATTTTTGCCATATTTTTTCGGAAATAATTTGCTTTGCGTTTGATACATTTGCAAAATAAAAAGAGTCAACTTCAGGAATTATCATCTCATGTTCTTAGAATTACCAAAGAAGAACATAGTTCCGGTCGTCTTATTTGTAGCTGTCTGACCGTTGTGAAAATATCCACCTCCCCGTCCATTTGTAGCTGTTGTATTATATTGTGGACAGCACATAACACTCCACATAGATCCGCACCGTTCCTATTAAAAATCAATAATTGTTTAAAATTGTTATTAAGCATAGCGAGTCCATGACTTTTAAGTTATAAAAATACCTAAGTTTGTTTAGAAATAAATCTGTAGTTTCTATAATGAGAAAGGGGAAATATCGAACAACGACTTTTCTCAAAATTTTGTTAATGAGCAATTTTTTTTATAAAACAAACATTTAGGTCAAAGTTAGAAAGGTGTTTTCATACAAATTGACAAAATGCTAATAACAACGGCCTCAAGAACGATTATAAAAGTGTAACTACAATTTACCATGACTAATTGTCTACACAATATTGACTCAACATCGGAAATAAATGATTAAAAGATTTTTTGGTATGTTTCAAATGTAAGATAATGCAAACAAATCTGAAAAAGGTGAATGTTTTGTAGACATCTACGATTTGTAGACTGGCTTTCGCCAAGACACCTATCGTTCTCGTACGCTATATTGAAGATCATGTCAACTTCGTTAATAAATTGCTGCTGCCTTAATTTGGAGTTCAGCATTTTAATTGATCATGCTGGCATACACAATTTAGACGGTTATGATTCTATACAGGGCTTAGATCACAATTTAATGCAATCAAATAAGCATGAAAGAGTTATCTCTTATCCGAGTATTGATGAATCTTAAGAACAATTTTTAATTGAAATTATAGTGAAATTTCAATCTTATGCAAATCACCTTTACCTGCTAACAATAGTTACGGGGCCCTCAGGTTCATTATTTAAAACAAAAGACACCAAACCAAGGAGCTGTGATACGCTCGTTGAATGATCCGAAGGTTTCAATTCATACATAGGCTGTACAATTGCAACAGACGAGGCTTCATCATTCATCTAAACAAATGAAATATAGAGATAACTAATAAAATCAAAAACTAATTCAATCATATCCCGAAATATCTTTCCTGGCTTTTTTATAAACAATTTTGAACATTAACGTTCTTGGCATGTAAAATATCAAAATCGTAAAAAAGTACGGAAAAAGTAAGATATTTTAGAAAAATTAAATCAATACAAATTGGAAACAGTTCAAGCAAGGATCCTTGAAAATCATTAGAGGTGTTATCAGGTGCCATTACCTGTCGTCCGGATAAAACTGCCTTTGCTCATTGACAAAGCCTTTCAAATGATTTACAAATAGAATTTAAGTATGCTCAAACGAGAAAGAAAATTAAGTTTTCGTCAATCAATAGAGCCCCGTCCTAACACCAGAACCCATGACGCTGGGGCCATAAAATTAACAATTTTGAAAGAGGCACTCTTGCTTATCATAACTATGTAGTAAGTTTATTTAATATTCAGGATCAGAGAAGTAGATTTTAAAGGAATTAACGCAATTCACTATTTGATCAAAAGAGCCCGCCCTAACACCAGAACCGCTGACCCTGGGGCCACAAAATTCACAATTTTGGAAGAGGCACTCTTGACCAACATAACTATTTACTTACATAGTTTATTTAATACCCAGAAGTAGAGAAGATTTTCAAAGAATTAATACATTTTCCCTATATGATCAATACAGACCCGCCCTAACACCAGGACCCCTGACCCTGGGGCCATAAAATTCAAAATTATAGAAAAGGCGCTCTTGATCATCATAACCATGTGCTTGGTTAGTTTATTTAATACCCAGGAGCAGAGAAGAAGATTTTCAAAGAATTAATGCATTTTCACTATATATAATCAATAGGGCCCAACCCTAGCACCAGAACCCCTGACCCTGGGGCCACAAAATTAACAATTTTGGAAGAGGCACTCTTGTTTATCATAACTATATACTTAGCTAAGTTTATTTAATACCCAGAAGTAGAGAAGATTTTTAAAGAATAAATGCATTTTTACTATATAACCAATGAAGCCCCACCCTTACACCAGAACCCCTGACCCTGGGGCCATAAAATTCACAATTCTGGAAGAGGCACTCTTGCTCATTATAACTATGTGCTTGGATAGTTTATTTAATACCCAGGAGCAGAGAAGAAGATTTTCAAAGAAATAATGCATTTTCACTATATAATCTTTATAGCCCCACCCTAACACTAGAACCCCTTACCCTGGGGCCATGAATTTCACAATTTTGGTAGAGTACTCAATGCTCATTACATTCATGCCAACAGTTTGCCTGCTTGATGTTCAGGAGTAAAGAAAAAGATTTTTAAATATTGCAATAATTTTAGTGGTTTTGGCCCCACCTCAGGCCCTAGGGGGGCGGGGATCATAAAATTCACAATTTTGTTTCCCTTCACCCATAGATGCTGTATACCGAATTTGGTTGAAATTGGTTGAGTGGTTTCAGAGAAGAAACTGAAAATGTTCAAATGTTAACACACGACGACGGACGAAAACGGATAGCAATACGTCACCTGAGTTAGTCAGATGACATAAAAAAGAAGTGTTGAAATTCAGATGGAATGGGGTTGTGTT